TCAGATAATTGTGGGAAAATTCAACAACCAGTCCTTCAATCATCTTCAACGAAATAGGGTAAATACATCTCATATCACATACTTTTACCCAAGGCTTTAGTTTTCACGGTTTACCACGAGCGTCTGATAGCACCTTAACGGTTGCCACATTGAGCTGGGCCCAGGGGCGCTAATTACCAAGTTTGATGATATTTCTCCAGAGCAGTAGACCAAGTTAGCAATGCGCTTCTCCTAACCTTAGTACGGCACGTGTTCTGGATTAATTTTATGATCAAGGATTGTCCCACGGTAAATCTTGGTTTAACCCAAGTACTCTAAGTCAACTGAGGAACTATATCTCGAGTTGAACTGTAGTAGAACCTGCGCAGATCTACTATCGATTACGGCAAATTCCTGACGGTTATTAGCACACTTAACCTTATTCCCTTGTATGCCAGATCAATATAGGTTATAATTAGAAGGTATGAAGACCAAGATGGTGTGGCCTTTTGTGTGGTCCCAGTTTCCTTTCATTGTATAGAAGTTGTTTGACCTGGTTTTCGCAACTCGGTCATATTGGTAGGAAGACTTAGAGGAATGCACCTAGTCCGGAGTCCATTGTATGCATCAGCTTTTCCAGAGTAGGACCATGGACGTGGTACATTTCCAAACGTTTCGCCGGCATCGTAGTCGGCATCGTCAGTGAGTATCGCCATTCTTAGCACCATACAACTCGTCAAAGAGACAAGTAAAGCCGATCCCTTGACCCTTGTCTCTTTGACGAGTTGTTGTATGGTGCTAAGAATGGCGATACTCACTGACGATGCCGAATACGATGCCGGCGAAACGTTTAGGAATGTACCACGTCCACGGTTTACTCTAGAAATGATGATGCATACAATGGACTCCGAACTAGGTGCGTTCCTCTAAGTCTTCCTACCAATATAATTATTTTTTCAGGTTGAGTGCATTCTCCGCAACCATTTGCTATAATTTCCTATTGTGCATCACCTGTTATTTACTTGCGATCCCTTCCCTTTGGTCAAATAAAGATCCTGGATCCAAGATTTTCTTATTTGCTGATCTGTTTAATTCTTGATAATCTTTGAGCTTACTTAAAAATACGCAAAGCTTTCGCTTATTCTGCCTTCGTCCAGTCTCCTATTCAAAAATATTTCTCTCAGCAAGGACAGAGATGGTCTCCTTAAGCTTTCGTTCCCTCATTCTTTTACTTTGCAGTTTTCTGCATATCATGTGCTAATTTTTCGTCCCGCTTCGCCAATATACTTGCACGAAAAATGTTGTCCTGTCCTTCACGATCACCTCAATATTCCATTTCCTTAATATGTGTAGTAGTCTCTGAGTTAGCTCATAGTAGAGTAGGCATATCTACTTTTGTGTCATTCTTAATTCTCATTTTTCCCTCGTGATCACCAACATGCCATCGGCTTTCACAGCCCGTATGTTTCTATGTATATTACCTATGACAGAGGGTTCCGGATAAGATTCGTTTATCGGGGCCGCTTTGAAAACAGAACCAAATTGCAAAAACGAGATCAATAAATTTCTATAGAACGAAAGGCAATTGCAGCCAAAATGGAGGTCACACTATTTTGTTAGTCAAACCTTCGGCTAAAAACGACGTCCATGAAGTATCAGAACACCGTAAACAATAATTGTCATATAGATAAAATGGAGTGCATAGAGTGTTATTTTATGAATAGGTAATCAGACAACCGTGACAATCCAGCGATAGCTAAGAGGTTTACTGGTCACACTTCAGATACCATAAACACAGGACCTTGGAAGCTTGATGCTTCAATATATGCCCCAAGCGAGAATCCCTTCCTAGAAGGTCAACACGCCAAATAGAATGGACAGTTGCAAAGAAAGGGTCACTTCCCTTCCCAACCAGTGGACAGTTTAAGGAAAGTGATTTTTTGCGGCCTTCCGAAAGAACGCATAAATTGGATCCGTCATGGGAACAGTTTTAACCAGCAGTGACTTTAGCCAGGAGAGTGGTCTAGCGAATTTAGTGAAACACGGAACAATCGAGACAAACGAAAGGTCTATTTTGTCATACTTATCAAAGGAACTATTGGTAGCAAAATCTCCTTTCAAGTGAGTCATGTTAATGCACACTCGTTATAAAGCTTGAAATAAAATTTAGCCCATCGCTGCAAGTTGCATATTGCCGTGGCGAAATAGCTTAAGTATAAATATATGGGAGAAAACATAAATAAAGCCCTACTGAAGGTGGGCGGGTTCCACTGGCTAAATAGTCAATAAAAAACAAAAAAAAAGAATCAGTCAGGCAGCAGTCGCAAGTTGGCTATCGAAACGACAAAACAGGAAATGACAAGACTCCATATAAGAACGAACCCAAGTTTGGTTGAGAAAAAATAAAATAGATGATTCGACAACGAAGAAGCTGTGCTAAAAGGCGGTAAATGAAAATAGAAGCCTAATATTGGTCTCGATTCAGCATGGAAGCAATTAAGGGTGAACAGTAGAATACAAGTACCTTGATAATATTAGAATCAGAGGTTGTGTAGTCAAAGTCGGCAAGATAGAGAAGTTGACTTTAAAAAAGAGGGATATATCTATCAAGAACGACAACAACAGGATGTGTTGTGATTGAGTTTCATTACAGGTTGCTAGGATAAGCACGGTTTAAGGCAAAACAGTCACTCAACTTCGGCAAGCAAGGACGGAGATTACCGGCATTATAGAATAACTATTGTTGGAAAGGAAAAATTCATGATCTTATTTCAAACTGACAATAAGATTTTCGAATTAAGTATTGTTTTCGTGACTACCAGTAAATCAGTAATATAAGATGTATTC